GCGGGGAGCGGTGCCTAGCCCMTCAGACTGGGTGCCGTGGGCTTTGGACATCCGTGGGAAGCAGCATTGCGGGGTTTCTTACCGTGCGCCCCGGGAGGCGAGTGCCACGCTCGTGTGCAGGGTTTGGCACGGCCACCGAGCCGAGAATACAGGGCCCAGTGCAAGGAGGGAGGCTGCGAGGTTGGCATCGCGCTGGCTGCAGTGTTGCAAAACGGATGCATTACCAAAACAGAAATTAAAGCTTGGTTTTGGTGCCGACAGTTATCGAGGGGCGTTTTGGGGAGCGGTCTTAATCTCGGTCAGCTGCTCTGACTCAAGTGTCCGTGTTCAGGGGAGTGGCAGCACGTTCACGTCAGCGATGGATGGCTGCTCTTGGAGCACAGTGTTGGCGGAGCGAGGTGAGGGGGAGTGATGGGCAGGATGCTCCAGGGAGAGACACAGAGAAGTGCAGAGCCCAGCTCTTGTGCCAGCAACACTTGTGCTTTGCACTGTTGCAAGCAGGTATCCCACATGTCTCAAATACTGAGTGAAATCAGGAAGTGTAGGAAGCCTCAGCAGGTTTCTAGATTCTTGAAGTTGTCTATATCCCTTTACAAGCAACATAGGCACGCAGAGAGGTTTTCCTTTGCTGTGCCTTCTAATAGAGCTTGAAGTAAGGAAGCTTCTTCTGAGTGGGATATCAGGATGGGAACCTTCTGTCAGTTCTCTGGGACTTTGAAACCCAGCTGGGCCAGCAGACATCTGAGCATGGATTGAAGTGCCCCTTTTAAACTGTATTATATGGGTCATACTGGTTACCTTGAATCTTGATACCCTTTCACTCCAGTATTGCCCACTAAGGACAGCAAACTTGAGTTTGGGAATAATATTTCTGGCTCTGCAGGAGCTTGAGGTCAGGGAATTGAAAGCTCTGCTTTTCTGTTTCTGTTCCTTACATCTTTTCTGCTAGGTACAGGCTGCTCCCTGCCTGTGGCGCATCAGCCAAAGCCTCTTTGTCCCTGCTATGGGCTATGCCGGGTTTGTCTGACCATGTGCCCCATGAGAGCTTTGAAGGCGACGCGTTTGCACAGGGCCTGTGCCAGCATCGCTTCCAAGTGGCGGCGGCTGGCGAGCACGGCGGCCAGGTGAGCGCCACTGTCCCGTCCAGGGGCTACCAGCGCCTCCCTTGCGCCCCTCTCTTCTGTGGGCCCTTGTGGGTGCGGAAATCGCCAGCACAAAGGCTCCAGGAGGCCTTCTCGGTGCCTTGGGGGAGGAGGCCGAGTGAAGAGGGAGGCTTCCCAGGCAGGGAGAATCCTGCGTTTACCCACAGACTGGTGTCAAGCCCAGAGCTGCTCTAGGGGGAAGRTGCTGGACACGGGGCATGAAGAGCTCCATGCACCCCGAAACAGAACGTAGGGTTCTTCCAGACACCAGCACGTGTGTATGAACGGTGACAGGGCTTCCTGTCCCCTTCCTGAAGGGGAAGGGGAATCGGCAGAGTAGGCTCTGGCCCCTGCCTGGATCTGATCCTTGCTGAACCCACCTGCCTCCAATGTGCTGCTTGTAGCCAGCCTTCCCTAAAGCTCTGTCCTCGTGTGTGTCCCTAGGCCCTGCAGTGACACCTCAGACCCAGGGCTGAGCCCTTTGCCACCCCAGACCCAGGGCTGAGCCCTTCCCCAGTAACTGCAGCGAGGTGCCCCCCAGGGAAAGGCAGGGCAGGAGGGCCTGCGGTCACGCGGGGCTTCGGGCTCTGCAGACCTCACCTGGGCACCGTCCCCGAGCGTGGGACTGGACACGAGGGCCGGGGCAGGGCGGGGGGCTGCGGCCTGCTGCCTCCGGCCCCGCGGCAGCCGGTTTCATGTTCACRGAGGGTTTCGTGTTGTTCGCTGTCCTCCAGGAGCGACCGGCCTGGCATTATGAAATAGTAATGAGCTTCCCTCTCTCTTTCTCGCCCTCTCCCTCTCTTCCCCTGGCCCCGGGCCCTCTAGAGTTACCTCAGCCCTTTGCTTGTGATCTGCTCAGAGCCGTCTCCTCTGAGCAAATCCCAGCGCGGGCGAGATGCTGGAGGGAAAGCGGTGCTGACAGGCRGCTCGCAGGAGCCTTCCCCCTGCGCTTGTAAGCCGTGAAGGTAACGGGGCTGGGCAGGAGCGACCGAACCCCSGGGAAATGCCAGTGCATCCGCAGCAGGGCCAGAGAGGGGCGGGGGCCGCAGCCTGCCCTGGAAAAATCCTCCTCCCCTCCGCTTTGCCGGCTCCGTCACCCGCGCATGGGAGAGTGGCTGCGAGCAGCGCCGGGCCGGTGCGGGAGGCGYGCGGGGACGCCTCGCGCGGGGACGCCCCCCGCACCCTCCGCACTTGCTCTTTCTCCGTAGTGGCCGCAGCAGGGGAGATGTCCACCGTCTCGCGGGACCTCAGCAGGCCCCTCTGGCCTCCCGGAGTAGGAGAGAAATCTCAGCAGTGAGGAGGAATGGGCTGGGAGAGGCAGTGAGCGCCCCAGTGCCGGGGCTGCTCTCGGAGGAGGTAGAGGGAGTTTGGGAAAGGCAGCTTTGCCCCTCGGCGCGGGGGCGGCGTCACGGCATCCCCCCCTCTTCCCTGCAGGATCATGCCGTGGCGGCGCAGGCCGGCAGCGCTGCGGACCCCGGCGGGCCCTGGGACACGCTCTGCATTGTAGCCCCTCAGTGCGAGGTGTACGTGAGCGTGGGCCCCGCGGACGGGACCGCGCGGTGAGTGCAGCCCGCGCGGGGCTCGGCCCAATCCTGCTGGGTGGGAATGGGGGCTGCAGCCCTGAGGGAGAGGGGGCAAATGCAAGAGACCCTGTGTCTCAAGCTGCTGCTCTCTGCCCCTGTGCCCTCGGGCCTKTGCTGACCACTGGCTCTCCTGTTTCCCTGCTCCACAGCTGGGAAGGGAGCTGGACATACCCCCTGTTCAGCCCCAGAGCAGAGGGGGAGCACAGAGAAAACAGCACCAAGCCCAGCACCAATGTCCGGACCTGCACTGAAGCCAACTCTGCGCTCCCCAAGGTAAGATGGGGAGTAGCAAGGGGGTGTCTCTTGGTTTGGGGCTATTTCATTCTCCCCTACTCCCTTGCCCCAACCCTTCACTACCATGCCTGCTGGGTGCTTCCACAAACTCCTGAGATGCAAGCAGGGATGGTTGGAGGCCTTTAGTCCCCGCAAAATGCCTTTTCCCCTTAGCACGTGAACAGATTTACTCATGGATTGCCCCATCCAGCTTTCTTATGTTATTCCTTGGCATGCCAGCTGATGTCGGGCTGAGATCACCTTATGCTCCCCCTGCTCCCTTCCTGCTCCCTTTTCCCCAGCAGCTTTGGACTGAATGGACTGTATCTCCTCGCCTCTGCCTCTCTGTAGCCCAGAGAGGCTTCCAGTGGCAGCTCTCTGCCCTCACTGCAGAGACCTGCCCTATCTTGTCTCTCAGGAGAGGGAAATGATGAGGCTGTGGGACAGCGTTCTGGGATCAGGCAAGCAAGACATGAKGAACTACGCAGGCCACAAGGAAGAGGTGCGGACGCGAGCCCTGCAGACAGACAGAGCCAGGTGGGGTCAGCCCGTTCCCTCTGCGCCCTGGGCGAGAGCAGAGCCCCAGAGCTTTAGGAAAGAAATCTGCCCTCTGAAAGCAGGTACACTTGGTTTGCTCCCATGGTAGATCCTAGTCCGGGCTTGCTTTACGCATGGGGACCTTTACGGGAGTCTGAATTCATAGCAGAGCTTTTTTTAACTGAAGGGGCCTAGGCTCTCTCGGCATCTCTTTATCCAGTGCCTAGCTTTGGTCCCAGAGGTCTTAGCCATCCCTCTGGGAACCATGCAAAAGGGTAAGGTCCGGAGTCTGTGAAACTCTGCTTCTCTTGTGTCTTGACCTCAAAACRTGGGTCTCCTGCGTGTTGTCTGTCTGCATGGCTTGGTGCGCCCTGGGTTCACAGCATCACATCCCAAACCTCCTGCCCGCTTGGGCAGATTCGGGGATTTGTCTGTGCCCTCCAGGACTGTAGCTCTCCCATGAAGGGGTGCATTGCAGTAGATGCACTGGTGCTCTCCTGCATCACTCGTGCCTACCGCATTAACTGCCTTCTCCCCACCCCAGAGCGCAGCCTCAAAAGCCAGCAGCCCGCAGAGAGCTGGGCAAGAAACCGCCCGGAGAGCAGCTATTTCTCCCTGGAGCGCCGCAAATCCGACCCTCCCTGGGCTCCCCCGCTGCCGCGTGGCGGCCGCAGCACCTCGCCGGCGCGCAGCGAGCCGCCATGCGCCGGCGGGCACCRCGCGGGCGCGGAGGGGCGGCACGGCATGGAGAGGCAGGAGTACACGGCGCTCGCCGGCCTGCCCAAGCCCAAGCGCCTCAGCCGCGGGGAGGCTTTGGAGCGCAGCGGCGCCCGCACGCTCAGCCCCGGGCGCGTGGAGGTGGAGCGGATATTCGGCTGCGAGCGCAGGTGAGAAGCGGGATGGGGCCCCGTGCTGACTCGGGTGGGTGGACATGTAGGATCGCCCTCAGATCCTGCCAAGACCTCCAAGTCTCCATGCCGCAGGGGCTAGATGGGGAAGCCCAGCCCACATTCATATTTCAGCTATGTTTATGTTTTGTTTAAAGCTAGGGCTGGGGCCTTGTCCTCCCTTGCCTCCATGAGGGCCCTCTGAGGAGCTCCCAGGACAGAGGGCCCTGCCTGCGGCATGCAGGAAAGTGCACACACCACTGGCTGGTTGCACAGGGCAAGAAGGGAAAAGAGGAAGAAAATGGGAAGAAGACAGTGGAAAGTGTCCTGGGGAAGGTGGATGGGATGCAGGATTGAAGGACAGGATGAAGGGAAGCTGGGTTTTCCCTCAAGGGTGGTTAAAGCAGTGAAGATGGGGCGAGAGAGAGACTCCAGGGCTACTTGTGTTTGGCACAAGCAGAGAGATCTGTGGGGTCAGGCTCGGATGGAGCAGGAACTATAGCCACACATGGCTCACAAGGTCTCTGCCAGCTGTAGCCTCCAAGCCTTGGGGCTGAGGGCCTCTGGCCAGGGCCCTGGAAGCCAGGATGGAGCAGCACCTGGGATGGACTGTGTGTGCCAGCAGGAAATCCGAGACTCTGGAGGCTTTCCAGGCCCTGGAAGAGGGCCGTGTGGACCGGCTCGATGGGAAGACCCCCATTCCGCCCAGCAAGGGTCGACTAGCTCGGAGGCAGTCCAGCCCCACTCTGTTCAGAGAGGTGAGTTGGCCACATGGTGGAACCCCAGCCCTCAGTGGAACCATGGTGGAACCTCAGCTCTCTAAGCTGGGTTGCTTCTTCCTGACATGTTTGTTTGGTTTGTTTTCCTACTTTTACCTCATGCTTCTGTTTCATTTCCTCCCCTCCTTCCCTCCATTACCAGCCCTTCCCTTGCAGCCCGCTCCCTCTGTCACAAGCGAGGACTTCTTAGGTGCGTGTTGGTTCAGCACATGTGCATTCAACTGCTTTGTTGCTTTTTGTCTGCAGAGCTATTAAACTAARCTGTTTCCTAGTCCTAATCCCACCTATTTTTTCCTCCCTTGCTCCCTCTCASCTGACAGATGTCAGTTTGGGCGGGTTTGGGGTTGTGTTTTTTAATTATTAGAGGACCCTTTGCTCTCTCTCCCCACTCTGTCCCTAGGGCCAGCGGCTCTTCCGGCACCTTGAGCAGTGCAACAGGGACCCCAAGGCCTCCCTTCGCTCCCTGAGCCCAGSCCGGCAGCCGGAGAGGAACAGCAGGAGCCGCGGGGATCTCCTGCATCTCACGAGCCCAGCAACACGGGCAGAGAGGGACTGGCGGAAACCCAGAGAGTCTGCGAGCCCCGTCCAGCACCTGGAGAGAGACGGCAAAAGCCTGCGCTCCGCAAGCCCGGCTCGCAGGTCGGAGAGGAGAGCCGGGCAGGCCGCGAGCCCTCCCCAGCGCTCCGAGAAGGACTGGCGGAGCCGAGCAGAGGCCGCCCGCCCCGTGTGTCTGGAAAAACCCCCAGAAAGAGGCCGAGCTGCCTGGCAGACTGAGAGGACAGGGAAGAACCTGGAGAGGAAGAGCCGAGGGGATTCCCTGCACTCCGTGAACCTCGGGAGCAGTTTGGATAACAGCAGGCCTGGCCGGATAGGGCCCCTGCGATCGGTGAGTCCCAGGAGAGAGGCAGAGAGCACGTGGAAAAGCCAAAAGGAGATTGCTCCTGCCAGCCTGGTGCGGAGCACGGAGGGGAAATGGGTGAACTCAGGAGAGCTGCTGCACACTGCGGGCCCCAGGAGACACCCGGAGTGCGGCTGGCAGACCCTCAGGGAAAAGCTGCAGCCTTCCAGCCCAGGAAAGGGCACAGACAGTGACCAGAAAGGCCGAGGTAAGCCCCTGCGCCCAGTGAGTCCAGTGCGACCGCAGGAGCAGGACTGGAAGAGTCCAGGAGATGTTCACCAAGCCCAAAAGATGGAGAAGGACTGGAAGCGTCAAGAAAAGCCCATGTGCCATGCTGAGTTGATGAACCAACTGGAAAGGGAGTGGAAGAGCTTCACTAGGTGTGTAGATGCGGGACCACGGCCTGACAACAGCTGGAGAAGGCCTGAGAGCCCAGCGCAGCGCTTGGAAGATGACTGGAAGGGCCCAGAGCCAGTCCGAGCCTCAAACAACCCAGAAAAGCCATTGGAAAATGACTGGGGGAACAAGAAGAACTTTTTTTCTCATGTGAGTACAGTAGAGGCATGAAARTGTGGGCAGAAGCCAGAATAGATGGGGACCCCACCTCCCCTTCCACAAGGTTTGAAAGTTTCCCTACCCATATAGAACAAGAAGGTCCCGTGATTTGCTGTTCTCTTTGCTGGCCAGGACAGAAGCAGGTTGTACAGACACTGTTGTTCACACATGCACTACAGTCCTCCTGTTCCCCAGCACCCCCATTTCTCCAGAGAAGGAGCAATACTGCTTTCCCAGAGCTGGGAGGAGGTTTTTCCCCTGCAAACTGTATTGGGAGGCAGATATTGAGTCCTGGGAAACCGTGGGAAGCACTAAACAAGTGGGGCTTAGCGCTTGCTTTCTCTCCGTGCAGTCGCAGCTGGGTGGAGGCAGCCTCCCACCACAAAGCAGTGCCAGCTCCTCGGGAAGCCAACACCCATACCTGAATGCCAGCGAGAAACACCACAAGGTAGGGGACAGTCCGTGAGGATGGGATGGGGAGGGAGCTGATGGTTGCAGGAACGATGGGGCCTTTCTTTGTGACCAAGAAGCCCTGGAATCAGCCCTCCCTGCAGGTCAGCACATAGCTGCAGGCTGCGTTTCGGTCCTTGCTGGTGACACTGAGTGGGCTTAGCTGGGTCACTGCTGCCAAGGGCTGCAGGTACCTCCGTGCCTCCTTCCCCTGAGGTTCACCGGGTGCTGTACTCACTAGCACATCCCGGTGTCACAGGCAAACAGGTCGCCTTCATATCCCCTTTCTCAGACTGGAAAACTGAGACTTCCATTTACAAGGTCAGGGATGGGTGACTGGTAGATTTGGAGTGGAGCTCCTTCCCTCCCTTTACTATTATCTGTTGATAAGATGGAGCCAGCTGTTTCAGGAAAGGGATGAAACTGGCATTAGTGGCATGAGAGGAAATATCATCAGTCACATTCGCATTTCTGGGAGACCAAAAATAGCCGGAAAGTGGTTTTGGAGGGCTGAGGAAAGTGCYCTGGGAGCCTGTACAGTCCATTTCCCTGTCTCCTTCTCTGTCCATGTGTGTCGGTCTTCTTGGCCAGGCTGCCCCCAGGAATGACATCTAGGAACATATGCTTGCTGGGGCAGGCTCACCCATTTTATGCAGCCAGGCAGGAAGGCCTGGCAAAAGCCTCTGAAACTCGAGCCTGGAGACTCCCCCCTGCCTGTCCTCCCTGCCCCAGGTCAGCGTGGAGCCCTGCGCTCGCAGAACGGCTCGTTCAAGTCGTGCTTGCCCTTTCAGCCAACATACTCGGCGTTTCCACGCTGCTGGGCTCCGGGTCAGGTGCCTTAGCAATGCCCCATTCACTGTGGCRTGTACCGCTGAGCCTATGCCAGCCTTGCTGAGCCCCTGGCTACCTGGCACGGGCTCAGGCCCTGCCCGGCAATTCCCACTCCGGCTGYCCTGTTGCAGGGACCTGTTGCCGGCCCCTAGGAAGAACCAGCGCTCCCCTCTGCGCAGATAACCCATCACRAGCTGCTGCTTTGGGGCTCTCCTCCTGTGGGAGGAAGAAAACGGGAGGGCCTCCATCCCAGGGGAGCYTCCAAAGGCGTGGGCCCCGCAGGGCTGCCCCAGCCCGGCTCTGGCTGCTGCTTCCTCAGCCCTCTCCTCCCTAGGCCGCGACTTTTCCTCGCCCCAGACCCGTCCAAGGGGCACGGGGCCGCCGCCCCGGGTACGGGGGCGTCGCAGGGCGCGGGCTGGCCGGGCCGGCGGGGCCGCCGCGGTGCCCAAAGCGGCGCCCTTCCCTCCGGCCTGGGCTGCGGGGCGGCCCTCCCCGGCCGCGCCATTGGCTGCGGGGCGGCCCGGCCCGCGCTGACACGGGCCCATTAGCCTCGCCGGGCCCTCCCAGGAAGTTTAGGGGGGTGGAGGGAAGGGAAGGAAAGAAAAGTTTTCTTAATAAAAAAAAAAAAGAAAAAAAAAAAAAAAGCCCTTCGAGGGCGGGCGGCAGAGCGCGGCTCGGGCATGGTGGGGCCGCTGGAGCCGCCCGCCCGCTGAAGCCGCCCTGGCTACGAGCGCCCAGCCCCGCCGCCCCGATCCCGATCCCGGCCCCGATCCCGGCGCCGCCGCCCGCGGAGCCCCCGCCATGACGGTGAGTGCTGCGCGCCGACCCCCACCGGGGGCTGCTCCCCGGGAAAGCGGGGCCACAGCCACACTCCTGGGAAAGAAAGAAAGAAAGAAACTATATATTTATATATATCTATGTGCGTATGTGTGTGTGTATTCCCTTCCTGGCTGTTCCTCTTCTTCCCCCTTTCGATCCCTCCTTCCCGACRCCGCTCCAGGACCACCCGCCCCCTGGGCTGCTCCCCTCGCCCCTGTCGCTGTCGCCCACGTCGGAGCCTGGATCCACCGCACGGGCCGGAGCTCCGGTCCAGGACCTGCTCCCTCCTCTGTGAAGGCCCGGGGCTGGGGGTGCGGGGGTGGTCCCCTCTCCCTCGGCCCCGAGGGGGCTGCCGGCCGGCCCCGGTGCCAGCATCGCCGTGGGGCTCCGAGCGGGCTGGGGTGGCTGCTGTCCCCAGCAGGACGCGGGGTTGTGGCGGGGGGCGCCCAGCCTGGCCCTGCACCCTGCCGGGAGCTGTCAGCTGCCGCTTCCTCCCTGTCCCGCSGCATCCTGCCGCCTTTCCTCCCCTCCCTGCTCCTCTTCCTCTCGGCCGCCAGCGCTGGGGACAGGGAGGGCCTGGGCTCCCGCCCTCCGATGCGGCAAATGCTCCTGCGGCCGGCGCCAGGTCCCTCCTTGCCACTATCTCTGGTGTCCTGGGCCGTTCTGATCCTCGTCTGTGGGGCCGCGAGGCTCCTGCGTGACCGTCTTCGTGGGTGCTGTAACAGCAGGCAGCGCCCCACGGGAATAGATATCCCCCTGCTAGGTTGGTCAGCAGAGGTAAATCCATGCTTTGTGTAAACAGTGACTCCGCTGAGACCGGCTGAACTCGCCAAACTAATGATTCCAGGCCATTTTGAAATCCACCTCACCTGGGAGGTGAGAAGCCTTTGCTCCGTGCGGGGCAGGGATGCAGCCAGGCAGCGAGGAAGGAGCGTCCCGGCTGTGGCGGGCGGAAGGCGAGCGTTCCTCCCGCGTGGATGTTGGCCGCCCGCGAGAGGAAGGTGGTTGAGCAGAGTGGAGTAATGGAGATGACAAAGCGGGCCGTGCCCGCGGGCCGTTCTCACCAAGGGAGGCTGTGGGAAAGGCAGAGCTCGTCGCCTGCTTGTTTTTGCAGGACGCGTACCTTTGGGAGCTGTGTGTGCTTTGCAGTTTTGCCTCTGCTAAGCAGAGACAGAGCAGTTTGCGTTGTCTTTTGGCCTTGGGCCTTTTCCTTGTGGAGCAAGTTCCCTTTCTGGAGCAGGGAAAACACATGCTTTCTGGGGCAATCTCGTACGATCTTTCCTGTGGTGAAAAGGAGGTGGGAGAAAGTGGTGGCCCTCAACCTATGGCCCTCAGGAGCTTTGGGGATCCAGAAGAGGGGAAGGCATGGTGACAGCAGGGGCAGGAAAGGGAAGGAGTCCACCTGACTGCRTCCCCTTCCCCTGGCTCTGGAGCCTGCAATGCCAGCCAGGCTTTGTCTAGCCCAGCAAGCCAAGACGAGGAGCTCCCATCCCTCCCCTTTGGTGGCTGTCCCTTTGACTCGGAGCTTTTTACTCCAGCTTGTTCCAACGTCCTCTCCTGTTTTCCGTCCTTCTGGGCTCTGCCTTCTTTGTACCACCCAGGAGTAATTCTTTCACCCCCACCCCGTTGCCTTTCCTTCTTTGGTGTTTACATTCTTCAGATGTTTGCAGGCTGTTATCACGGCCCGCGTAGCCACTCTTCAGCCAGACGGAGCAGCCAGCTCCCTTTAACCTGCGCTGTCAGCCATTCCTGCCAGACCTCACCTGCCTTCCTAGGCTCCGCTCCGCTGCCTCTACCTGGCCGCCCGGGCGCTGTGCGGAGCTGGGTGCAGCTCTGGGAGGTGGCGTCGGAGCCAGGCAGACTCGCTCCTGCCTCCCAAGCCCAGAGCTCTCCATCTGCAGCCCTGAGCAGCACTTCAGGGATAGAAGCTTTGTGTTTGCCTGGGGGTGCATCCGGTTGCATCCTTGCATCTCGGTTGGTGTTTGCCAATACCCGGATCTCTCAGGGTCGCCGCTTTCCTGATCGTTTCCTCCTCCTGGCTCTGGGCCTTTTCCTCAGATGCAGGGCTCATTCTCTGTTCTCTGGCTGTATCCCAGGCTCTTTATTCCAGATGATGAAGCTGAATTTGGTTGTGGAGAGGGGAAGAGAAAGGGAACATTAGGCGTCCAGTGCTGCAGTACCAACTCCTCTACAACAAGAATAGTTTCAAAGATGCTTCCATAGCTGTGGCTACACATCTAAGGGCTGCAGGGGAAAAGACACTATTTCTGCCCTATGCAATTCACATACTTGAGGAAAAGCCCTCTGGGAGGCGTTTCCTGGCCTTGGCCCTGCATAAAGGCCAGAAATAAGGCGGGGATGCGGTGGCAGGGGTTCTGGACAGGCTTGTCCAATGCTGGGGTTTTGCTGGAGTTTCTTTCCCAGTGGAGTACGCTCTGTTCGTGTCCGTTATTTCACCAATTAATGCTTCGGCAGCATAAGTCTTCAACAGGACCTAGTTGGTCTGTACCATAACCCCGACCAGAAATGCTTTTGCTCGCTCCCTCCCTGGGCATATTGTTCTTTTGCCTCTCTGATCTCAGCTGCGTTCCTGCCTGCAGGACTCGGAGCCCAGAGCCTGCCCCATAGTTTCTGTGAAGACGCTTTCCTCAAAGCCAGATGCCTCTAGGAAGCGGCATTTCCTCAGTCTCCCAGCCCRCTTAATGCTGTGGCTTTCTTTTTGGTTTGAAGTGCCCTGAAAAGGAGGGCAGAGCAGTCGGCGCTCGTGGTTGCGTTATTTGGTCATGCCCGGGGATGTCTGTTACTCATCGCAGCCCTTCCTGGGAAGCGAGCGCCTGGACATCTGGTAGAGTGCAGCACAAGCTGGGCGGCCTCTGGGGACACTGGGTGGGCTCGAGGAGACGAAACGGGTGGCCCCAGGGGACCCGCACGTGCCTTCTCTCTCCTCCGCCTGATGCACGTGTGTCCCGGGGTGGGACCTTGTTCTTAGCCTTTTGCTTCCTTTCCTTCCCCTCCTCCTCCGCCCCACCACTCCCCATCTGGAGCCAGAGCTGAAGTCACTGCATTGGAAGGGATAACGGGAGAAAGGGTGGAGCTGCTGCCACAGGGAAGGAATTAATTTTCGGGGTGTTTTCTTGCGGAGCGGCGGTGGGGCTGGCGGGACGCCTCGGTGTGAGGGGGCGTGCAGCTCCACGGCGGTACCAGGAGGGCTCGCTCCGGTTCCCCTGGCCGTCTCCCTGCCGCCGGCACAGGGGTGACAGCCAGACGCTGCAGCCAGGCCTGCGGGGACAGGCAGTCCTTCCCTTCCCATGGCCTCCCCGCGCTGGCCGGCGCTTCCCYGCCATAACCCAGGAGCTGCAGCGCGGGGCGCTGAGAGCAGGGGAAGGTTTTGCCCAGCTGGGCAGCGAGCAAGGCCGTGAGGCGACCCACGTGGTGGCAGCTTGCTGTGCTTATCCAAGGGCACGGGAGAGCCCTGGCTTTGCTAGGCCACCCCTTCCCACCAACCGGGCCTTGGGTGGGACGTGTGGCGCGTTGGCAGCTGGCAGCTCTGCTGGTGTGGGCAGATCTGGTGYGGACCACCCAGAGGAACAGCCTGCCATGGTCTCCTCTCCTGTTGCTCTCCCGCCCCGGTGACAGATTTGCAGACTCTGGCCTCCCTGAAAGAAGAGCCCTTGAGTTATTTGCTCGTGCAACCTTTCCAAAGCCAGCGGAGCTGGTGGGAGGAGGACCAGCTCTAGCCTGTTGGGCTGAGGGCAGCATGAGGGAGAGCAGTTCCCTGAGTCAGCTCTCCGGTTTTCCACCTTTGGAAGGAGATAAACTGGTTGGGATGCTGTATTCGCTGCGTGAGGTTAGGTGGAGCCAGGGAGGGAGGGGGAAACTTTTTTTCCAGCATGGGGTGATCCAGATAAAAATCTGATCCTGATCCTCTCCATCATTTGTGGCCCAAGGCCAGAGAGAGGGCAGGCCCTGCTGCCAGAGAGAACAGAAGGAGCAAGGTAGCCAGAGAGAAGCCCCAAATGTGTCAGAGAGGATTTGTTCTCAAGCTCGGGTTGTGGCTCTGATTTGATCTCTCGCCTCGGGCAGATCATTTAAACATGGTGTGTTTTCACAGCTGCATAATTGCCTCCCGTACAGTTGTGGTGAGGGCTGTTTCATAGAGAGCTGCCCTCGTCTTTAATAAGTGGTTGGTGGTGAAGTTACAGGAGGGATGTACCCCTGGGGTGCACTTGCCCGTGGTTTGGGTGAGGTGTGTCTTGCTCTTCCGCTTTGCCTCCTTCCAAGCCAAGCCTGCTCAGTAGCAGCACAGCGTTCCCGCGCGCACACGCTCCTTGCCCCTGCCTCCCCTCCCGTCTCTGAATAAATGTCTCCAAGGCACCTTGTGGAAATCTCCCTGCTGCGTATTTTCCCTTATTTATTTATTTTTTAAAATCTTTCCTTATCTCCTGTTTCCTCTTACGGGAATGATTGCGTGTTGCTGAGAGCTAAATGCAGGCCTCTTCTGCCACTGGGTCCTAAGCCCYCATGAGTTTCCTAGAAGTGCTAGGCTTTTTTCTCTTAAAGCACTTAAGCACTTTTCCTTAAAAGTGCTAGGCTATTTTCTCTTGTTATAGGCTCAGCTTCCACCTGCTGACATGTAAAGACCTTTTGTGGGTTGTCCCAGACCTAGCACACAGTAACCCTCTGTTTTGTCCTTTTCTCTCCAGCCAGATCTTCTCAATTTCAAGAAGGGATGGATGTCCATCCTGGATGAGCCAGGAGAGGTAAGCCTGATCTCCTGATCTCATCCATCCTGGATGAGCCAGGAGAGGTAAGCCTGATCTCCACGACTGCCTCCTTCCCCAGCGTCCGTTCTTGGTGCTCCCCACGTGAGCAGTGGTTTTCCTTCCCCGCTTCTTGTGGTTGCTGAGAAGGACCCAGCTGACTTCCTGCTGAGGGGAACCTTTGGGGAACCTGTCATCAAACCTTTGGCTTGATGTGCAGGCAGAGCGTCTCATGGAGCATGTGCTGCTGCCCCTCTCTTAGCTGAGGGACTTGATGGGGGTGTCGGAAGGGATCTGGAGAAGGGGAAAGAGCTTTGCACGCAAAAGGGCTGAAAGGTCAAGAAACAGAAAGTCCCTCCCTGTTCCTTTGCTTTCCTCAGTAACTGTCTATCCGTTTCCCTCCTGTCTTTTCCCCTCCCTTCCCCTAACTGCCTGCAGTGGAAGAAACATTGGTTCGTGCTGACTGACTCAAGCCTGAGGTATTACAGGGACTCTAATGCTGAGGAGGTAAGCACGGGCAGCGTTGCTCAACGTTGCTGCATTCTTCCCTGGCCGTGTGTGGTGAGGAGAGGGAGAGGGGAGAGAAAAGCGACCGCTCGCGTGACCAGCTCGCTTCCAGAATGGGGAATGCTCTGTCCCAAAGAAAGGAGCCAAAAGTGGCAAGTCTCAGTTTGCAAACAGGTCCTGAAGAGGATGGGGTTTATAAGTACCCCAACCAAAAGGAGTGTCAAAGTCTATTGAGAGTCTCTTTTCGGTGGGAGAGGAAGAGAAGGCCTAGCCACCCGAGAGACCCAAGACTGGGCTGCTCGGGTCCTCTCCCTCTGTGCTGTTGGTTGCCACTGGAGTTGAAAGAATCCACACTATGTACAAGAGAAGTTGAGACTGGAGCATCTGCTGATGGACTGGGCTGTGGAGGGCTTGGCTTTCCAAGTACCAAATCCACCTGACCTGTTCCAGGGACTGTTGTGAGGTTGCTAGCACGCTAGCTGTGGTGGGACTTTTCACCTTCTGGAGAAGGGGCTTTTTCAGAGCTGGGTTTTGTACTTATGTCCTAGAGGGTGGCTGTGCTTTCAGGCAGATGACCTCGATGGTGAAATCGACCTTCGTTCCTGCACAGATGTGACTGAATTTGCAGTGCAGCGCAACTATGGCTTCCAGATACACGTGAGTGCCTGATACCAAACAGCTCTGGTGCTGAGCAGAGGCCACRCTGACGGGGGTGCTCTTTGGGAATGCATCTTGTCACCTTTTGAATGTGTCTCCTGCAGAGGCAACAGCAGTGCAAACCTTGTGCCACAGTTGGCAGTGCAGCAAGGCTAGTTGGTGACRTGTGTCCACAGTGTTTAAAGACATGAGGTACTGTGTGCCTGCAAAGGAAGGAGGAGGTTTTGCTGGACTGGACTGGGGCTAGAGGCTTCCCAGGAGTAAAGTTGAACACCAGGAATGTTTACTTAACCCGTTGGCCGAGGAAGCTTCTCCAGAGTTGAGTGGGAGGGAGTGGTTAGCAGAGCAGACCTCAGCACAGTGCAGTTCACCATGCTCTTGAGTAACAACCTGTACCCTGGATCCGGCCCCAGTACAGCTCTGTCTTCTGTTACTTTGTGTAGCAGTGGGAGGTGGCTGCTAAGGCAGCACAAATCACAGTGTTTCTTTCTGTGCATGTGCACAGCTGGGCATTTAATGTCTCGGGGTCCCTGTGGCAAACAGCTGTATCCCAACATTGATGCTCAGTTCCAAGCATTAAAAAGTTTGGACTGCGCTGACTAATGTTTGTCCAAATGTGCTGGCATATTTTTTTTTTTTAATTTTTTTTTTTAATTTTTTTTTTTTTTAGAAATGGTCTCATGGGGGTATGTAACAAGCTTCTGTGCAAAGAGCACATCTCATGCCTACCCTTCCACAAAACAGAGCATGAATGCAAGCAAGTCTTTTGAGACAGAGAGTGGTACCTCTAGCTGGTGTGACAGGGACTATACAGCCCCCAAAGAGGGACCATAAGTTTTGTAAAAAGCTCTTGGTGATTTTACAGTGTGCCGCCTATGCAAGCAGGTTGCCCAGTAGTCTTGCAAAAGCAGGCAAGAGCTGCTCGTGGCCTTGCGTGCTTAGGGCAGAGCCCTCTCGTATCTCCCGTTCAGACCAAGGATGCCATCTTCACGCTGTCTGCCATGACCTCGGGCATCCGGCGGAACTGGATTGAGGCGCTGAGGAAGAACGTGCGCCCCGTCAGCGCGCCAGACGTCACCAAGTAAGAACTCCCGAGCCTCGTGCTCCCCTCTCCCACAGCATCCCTCTGTCCCTCTGCCTTAAAGGCTCATCAGGGAGCTGTGAAGGCTGCTAGCTCCCTGTCTCCCCACATCTAAAAGGGGAGCAAGGAGAGCAGAGGGTGCGCAGAGATYGATGCTGGGCCTAGGCTGCCAACAGTCAGCACGTGGCCACATCTGGACTCATGACGAGCAGAAGTTTGTTTCCATTCCTGAGTCCAGCTTGCCTCCTGTCAGCAACCAAGCACGCGCTTAGCTCTGGTTGGAGGTGGTGCTCTCTAGAGGCACGAGTCCCTGCCAGACTCCCATGCTCTCCTCTCTGTGAGCTTTGGGGAATTAAACRTGACTAGGCCTGGGAGAGGTTTTAGTCCTGCCCAACCGGCTGTTTCCCTGCGCTCTGCTCTTCCTAAGCGTAGCCTAGAGACACCAATCTCCAGCCACAGCCAGCAGCATGGGTTGAAACCCTGCTGATCACACTGGCCACAGAAGCTTACTCTTAAACCCACTTTTTGCCTCACAACATGGATTTAGCTCGAGTTTACCGCTGGATTCTAGTGCAGCTGGGACTTGGGCCTAATTCTTTCCACCCCCTCACCCCTCAGGAAAGCATGTTTCCTCACACATGCATGCAGAGCTGCCAAGTGACATGATGCAACAGGCCAAGCTCTGCACTTRGTTTGTATTTTTTTTAAAAGGTTGGATAGAGCAGAGACTTAGCACAGGGGTAGGCCCGCGCTGCATGGGCCATTCAGCCTCCGCAGGCATCCTTTCCTGCCCCGTGCCTCTGCTCTGCTTCCAGACTCTCCGACTGCAATAAGGAGAACTCGTTCCGAAACTGCGTCCCTCAGAAGAGCTCGCTGAGGACAGAGGAGCAGCAGCGGGCAGGCTCGGGCTCCGGCTCCGAGGTCATCTCCAAGGGCACTCCCTGGAAGGCAGACGGGCAGCGCCAGGCTTTTGACTATGTGGAACTGTCCCCCTTGCAGCAGGGCCCTGTGAACCAGGGCTCTCCACAGAGGACAAGAGGGAGTTTGAGGGTCTCTGACCGAACTCCCAGGCATGACGATCTGGAGCGGGATCAGGCCATCCGTTCGGAGGAGAGGCGCAAGTGGTTTGAGGCCACCGATGGCGTGGGCCCACAAGGCGATGGCTCAGCAGGGGACCCCTCCCGCAAGGTGGGGCAGCAGGATGTCCCCCCTTCCCCACTGTCTGAGGACCAGCGGATTCGGCTGAGCGAGGAGATAGAGAAGAAGTGGCTGGAGCTGGAACGTCTGCCTTTGAAGGACTCGCGGCGGGTGCCCTTGACAGCGCTGCTGAACCAGAGCAAGGGGAGCCACGGAGAAACCAATGAAGCACTGAAGAAGGAGGTAGGGGCCTTCTCCTCGCTGAAAGCAAGTGTCTCATGGATCCTTATGTACTACTCTGAGGCCTTCGCCTCCCGGGCAGCAGGGAGCTCTGTGAGAGACCAGGGCAGAGGTGCGAAGGAGACACTGATTCTTATCCCACTGCCTGTTCTGTATGGGCAGCTCTGCCTCCATTTGCCACCTCTGAGGTGCATGGGAGCATGCACCATTGGGTAACACTTGTTTCCTAACTTGTCCTCACATGCCTTGAGAGACTCCTCAGGCTACATTTTGGCCCAGGATAAGTTAACTCAGTGGCTTTACTTGTACAGAGTCTGTTTCCTGGGAATACATTTGCAGCCTCTTTTCCCYGGCTGTCTCCTCACTGGTTCTTGCCACATTGGGGCTGTCTTCCCTGCTTTGGTGCCTTTATGGGCTGCCATTCCCTTGGGAAGCACACGTCTCCTTTGGCTGCGTGTGTTCCTCCCTGTGCCAAAGCCCAAGGCCTGGCAGGCGCAGCGTGTTAGTCGGGCCCCAGCACCTTTCCACCTGCAGCTGAGCTGTTCTCTCCCCTCCGTGGCACAGGTCCAGTCCCTACGGGCACAACTGGAGTCCTGCCGGGCCCGGAACGAGAGCCTTCGGGATGCGGCCAGATCCCAGGGAGAGGGGCACGTGCCCCGGGGATACATCTCACAGGTGAGCAGGGCCGGGGCACTGGATCGGGCCGGGAAGCGGCTGCTCTGGCTGCCAAGCAGGTATTGCTAATCATTGGGTTGCTATGGTGACGYTAACTAGGTTCAGCTGCAATCAATGTTAATTACATAAAGGCCAGTGTGTGTTGCCTGGCTTTAAAGGGACCCGAGTGTGAACTGCGTGGAAGAGGAGGAGATTGGACAGGCGCCACGTCCCGTTCTGTGCTCGCACAGCCTGGAATGAGCTGCCTCCTCCCTCGGAGCAGACTTGAGCTCCGAGAGGCCGCGTGGCACACGCCGGGGTTCCTCTTCCCTCCCCAGATGTGTTAAACGTGCCGCAGTTCGGGGCACACATCTGTTGAAGCGCTGCCAGCCGCGGGCTCACAGCTTCCATGCTGCGCTGTGCGGCTCCGAGTGATGAAGCCTTCCTTGGCCCGGCCAGAAGTGAGCTCTGCTGCAGCTCCGGCCTGCCGGCGGGTATAACACCCACTGCAGGGCTTTGGAACAGACGTAGCAACTTTCTCCTGAGCTTGCTCTGTGCTTACTGGTGATTTGCAGCGTGCTGCACACAGCTCTCACTAATAGGGGCCCCGTGGACAAGGAGGCTCCCTTCACAAAAGAAATCCCTCGTTAAAAGCAGTCTGTCAGGCTGTGGGGAGCTCCCTTTGCTGCCAGGGCCAGGCAAGCACTGAAGGTCGCTTCAATAGCACAGCCCGTTGGTGTGTTGGGGCAGCACGTGGTAAGCTCTGCAGATCAGAGTTTGCTCACACTTTCAGAGTTTGCTCACACTTCAGCCAGTTGATTTACTTCTTTATCCTGGACTCAGCCAGTGGGGGAGGAAAAGCAAACGTGATCAAATTTGGCAGGATGTTCAGCACCATTACTGGGGTTTTCAATCTCATTCTTCATTAGTATTTTTCCCCAGTAAAGCTCCTGTCCTGTCTGAGGGGAGGCTCTAGTTTGACCTCAATAATGAGATTTCAGGACTTGTCTTATGTGTTGAAAGAACCTCTAGGGGAAGGAAATTGAGGCTGGTGACCAGCCCCTTGCAGGGAGGTTGCTGTACCTAGCTCAGATAAGGAAAGCCACCCCTCACGTGGCTCCAAGTGCAGCCAGTCAGCTGTGGCTCTGTGATCTTGATTACTGTTAACCACTTAAAGGCTTCTTTATGGTTAAATAAACAAAAAGAGTGGGAAGAAAAGGCATCTTATCGTCCTGATTGCTCCATCTCAAAGGGCCAGTGTCTAGTATCTGAGTCAAAACAGCTCCTTTCCCCAAAGGGAACTTTCTGTCTGAATTTGCCAATGTTCACCACAAGTTTGTGGACAAACCACGGAACTGATCCCTCACCTTTTCCTCTCCTTTGTTTGAGCTGTGAAGCAGTTGCCAGATTGCCTCATCTCAGTACGGAGGAGAAGCAAGGACATATATCCCCCCACATCTCTATCAGTATTGTTCATCTCAGCATTTTCCTTGCTGCTGGAAGAAGGAGTAGGACAGATAGCAAGGGGGTCTCAGCGGGGAACACAGTGGCTCTCCACTTGAGGTCTTGGCAACTTTGGCTTTTTAAAGTCATGATCTGGAACRGTTTGGCAAATAAATCCTTCCCAAGGGGCTGGGGGCAACGCTACTGGCATCTGCAGTGAGTCTGGCCGCATGGCTTTTGAGAAGGGAATTGCTTAGTTTCTGCAATACCAGTAAACTCCAGCACTCGGGCTTTGAAAGAACGGTCTTGTTGGTGTCCTTCAGCTCAGACCCATCAAAAAGGGGTGGGTTGCTTGAGGAAGACCTCTGAGTTAGGTTTTGGGGAGGGCTCTTTAATAACATCTGACCGAGTTGAGGGGAATGGAAGGTGTCACTTTTCTGAGGAGGCTCACTTTTCACTGATTCTGGGGAAYGCTGCTTCATTTAAAAGGCAAATACTGAAATGTGCTTCCTGCCTTTACTCGCCTTGTGTCAGGCAGTGTAGCCTGGTAGAACCGTCCTGGCCATGGTTTTGGGAGTGTTACTCCCACCTCCCCCTTGTCCAAAGAGAGACCTTCATGTCTTGGTGACTCAGTTTTAAGAAGAGCAAGAGGAGTGTTTCTTCTGCAAACCACTTGAAACTGTGAAATGGCCCCGTTAAACACTTGTGTCCAGCAATAAAAGAAGTGCCTCAGTTCCAGAAGGAAACCCTTGTCCTGGGAGGTGGTCTCATTTCTCTCAGAATGGCCCCGACTCTGAGTGAGGTCTGCAAAGCCAAACATCAACATGGCCAGGTGTCACGTCTAGCCTGGGCCTTTCCTCCCTCCTGCGTGTCTGGGCCCTGCAAGTCCCTCACTCCTGCTGTCCTTTCCTGGCATGGCAGGAGGCTTGTGAACGCAGCCTGGCCGAGATGGAGTCGTCCCACCAGCAGGTGATGGAGGARCTCCAGCGGCACCATCAGCGGGAGCTGGAGCGGCTGCGGCAGGAGAAGGAGCGGCTCCTCGCAGAGGAGGCCGCAGCGACAGCCGCAGGTAGGGCTGCAAACCAAGATGGGGCCCCGCTCAGGTGGGTCCCTCCCTCCTCTCCCAAATGCCTGTCACTTGTGCCAGAAACTGTGTATGTTGCCACCCTGCTCCTCCCAAAGTGTTGGATCCCTAGAAACTCCAGACTGAGGGCATTGGGTATGATCCAGTTGGATGCTGAGGACCCTGCTTCCTAGGTGTCAACGTGGCCCTAGGTCTCTGGGTGCTCAGGAGCAAGAGTTTAGGGARTGCCCTGGCTAATCCCACATCTCTTTTCCCCTTCTGCAGCCATTGAAGCACTGAAGAAAGCCCATCGAGAGGAGATGAATAAGGAGCTGGGGAGGACACGCAGCTTCCAGCAGGCTGGCGCAGGTGCAGAAGCCCTCCAGAAGCAGCATCAGTAAGAAATCTCTGTCCCCTCTGCCTTGCCCAGTGCCTGCTGCCCTAGCCAGGCCCGTTGCTGATYCCTATCAGTAATTGCCAGGGTTGCTGGAGGGGAAGACAAGGAGATTCATTCCCTATTTGGCACCAGTAAAGTGGGATATGCCCAAAGGAGAATAAACAGCCACCCAGCCCTCTAGCACTAGCTGAGGTTGTGCTGTTGTCCCCCACTGCTCTCTCTCAGCTTATTCTCTCTGTTTTCCTTCTGCATAGCTGCTCCATTTCTCCTGCATTACACAGAGCTCCCAAAAGCACTGTGCTTCTGTGGGAGACAGATTGAGGCCTTAATCCACAGGGAACATTTCTTTTTGTAACAGTGACTATTGGAAGCTTTGGGAAGATGATGCCCACACCATGGGTATACAGGACCAGCGCCCAGGGGACAACTGGGAGGGGAGGACAGTGGGGGTCGCAGGGGAGTGATGTCCTGGCACCTCTTTGGCAGGTTGGACGTGGATTCCCTGAAGCGGGAACTGCAGGTGCTCTCAGAGCAGTACTCCCAGAAGTGCCTGGAAATCGGGCAGCTCACGGAGAAGGCGGAGGAGCGGGAGCAGACRCTGCAGCGCTGTCAGCAAGAAGGGAAGGAGCTGCTGCGGCAGAACCAGGCGAGAGAGGGGCTCTCCCTGCCAGCAGAGACCACAGAGCACATTCCTCCCACGGGGGGCTGTCTCTTGTACAGCACGCCCTATCTGTTAAAATTCCCCTATTTGTTCATGTTTCTCCTCTCCAAGATTTTATTAAAAAGGAAGAAAAAAGATGGAGAGGGGGGGATGGAGTCTGTAGATGGGCCTGTCCTGTGGCGAATGTATTCCTTATGCTGCAGGAGCAGACACAAGTTATGGGCAAACCCAATGGCAGAAAGGTCTCTAAGCTGGGGAAGGGGTTGGTATGAAGACCCAGGCCCCTGGCAGGACCCGGGGCAGCCGAGAGCCTCATGTCGTGGCTCCGCTGACATACTTTGCTCTTGCTCCCAGGAGCTGCAGTCCCGGCTCTCGGAGGAGATCGGGAAGCTGAGAAGCTTTATTTCATCACGGGGCTCCGGGGACCGGTCTCCGCACAACAACGAGCGGAGCTCCTGCGAGCTGGAGGTAGGGAGGTGCTGCTCGGCTGCCCCGCTGCTCCCCAGCACCGCGCGGCCTCGAGCGCTCGCCACAGTTTCTCCCGGGAGCCTTCCCGTGCGAGGGAGCGGGTGGCAGGAGCGGACCGTGGGGCAGGGAGGGAGCAGGGCTGCTGCAGGAAGGAGGTGCGCAAGCTTCCCCACTGCAGCTCTCCCGGGCCACCTCACATCGCTTCCTTTCCTGCCCTGGCCCTGCTGACCCCTCCTTCCGATTCCAAGGTCGCACGCATGCGGAGACCCGGTGCCGGTGGCTGTTTCCAAGGCAATCGCTCTCTGCTTCCCTGCCTTGAGTCATCTCTGGTTCCTCTCCCCCCTCTCTGGTCCAGGTACTGCTGCGGGTGAAGGAGAATGAGCTGCAGTACCTAAAGAAAGAGATCCAGTGTCTCCGGGAGGAGCTTCAGATGATGCAAAAGGTACATGTTTTCCAGGAGCCATTCCGGCCTGTGTCCCAGGGCCGGGTGCTGATTGCCTCGCTCCACAGGTGGCGGGGAAGCAGCAGAAGAGCGAGGTGAGGGAAGGGAGCACCGTGTCTGTGTRGCAGCAGGTTTGACCTGGCCTTGAGTGGACCCTCAGGTGCAACAGCTGCGAGCACAGAACAGCCCTGGTCTCTGAACAGTACGGGGCAGTGCAGACCTGCTTTGGAAAGCACCGCAACCTCCRCCTAGGTTTGGCGAGGAGGTGCCTCAAAATAGTTGGGGACCTTTGTAGCTGCTCTGTGTGTGAATATGGTACTTAGGCATAAGAGGGGACTGGCCAGGAGCCCTTCTTTGCCCGGTGGGAAAACCTGCTGAAGCAGGGCCAGTACTTTGGTTCCCCAGCCACCTCYTCTGTGCCTTGTCCTGCTTCTTCCCGCGGGCCTGCCCTCTCTCCGTGTTGAGCGTCTCCTTGGGCACAGTCGCCAGGGGTGCTGCTCTCGGCTTTCCCAGCCGCTCCCTAGCTACAAGTGCCTCTAGATACAGTGGCTTCCGCTGCATTGCAGCTCCTTGTTCCCAAACCATGGCATATAAACTACTGCCAGCCTGAGGCCACGATCTCTGGGACAGACAGCGGTGGCAGCCCCTGCAGAGGGTTTTCAGTGCAAAGTGCCCTGCCACAGCAGGGAATCTGAAATAAGCAGCGAGAATCAGTGATGACCTCCCAACTTCATAGATTACTTTTTTAAGCTTTTTGCCATTTAAGTGGCCGGTACCAGCCCTTTCAGGGTTCAGTAGCCCACATCTCTGATCTTTTTTCTTCCCYGCGTGACGGGCACAGATGCACATGAGCAGGATTGGAGCCCAAACCTCCTGCTCAATTTGGTGCCTTCAGGTCCACGTTGTTGTGRAACCAGTGACTGTGTCTTCATCCCCAGCGCAGGGTATGAGAGCCCCCTGTGCTTTGTAGTGGTGCCTTAGCCCTTTTTGTTTTTCCAAATGGTCTCTGAATGGCTCTGTTTGGCCTGCTGTGGGTAGCCTGGCTGGGCCTTTCTACCAGGCTCTCCTGGCCTGCAAGGAGGGAGAAACAACTTGAGCTGAGCTTCACATCTCAGGCTGGATCTCCTTTCTCCCACTGGCCTTTCTCCCACTAGGCTCTCCTTGCCATCCCCTCCCCGCAGCAAATACCAGTGCAAATACCGGCTTCAGGATTGCTGACTCCTCTCCCTCCCTTGGCAGGATAAGAGATTCGCCTCAGGGAAATACCAGGATGTCTATGCGGAGCTGAATCACATTAAGGTGCGCTCAGAGCGGGAGATTGAGCAGCTGAAGGAGCATCTGCGCCTGGCCATGGCGGCCCTGCAGGAGAAGGAGTCGCTGTGCAACAGCCTCAGCAAGTAGCGGTGAGCAGCAGGGCCCAGCGGCAGCCTGCTCGGAGCTGCCAGCTGGCACTCTCTGCCTTGATGTGAAGGGAGGAGGCTGAGGGGGATGGAGCCAAGGGCAGGTCCCTCTGTCCTGCCCAGGGCTGTGGGGCTGCCTGTCCTGACCTTGCAGCCCCCTGTCTCAGACTCAAGGTCCTGCCCCTCCTCTTGTCCCTGATATTCTCTCCACAATGTCCTTGTCTCTCTTCACTCCGTGCTGCCCTCGCTGCTTGGCTGCCTTCCTGTTGCYGACATTGAGTGCTGCTAACTAGGCTGAGGGGTAGAAGCTGGCCCCATACCAACCTTTACCCTGCAGTTTGGATGACAGCCTGTGTGGGGACACTTGCCTGGCAATCTGCTCCCCACATAGGTAGTGTTTCCTCTGAATTCACCTTTGAAGGGGCTGACATGGCACAGCAGGAAATCTTGAGTCTGCACCAAAGCAGCCCTGACTCCAGCTAATCCTTCACACGCACTCTTGGGGCTTTCCTGATGCAGGTGATGGAAAAGGAAGTGGAATGTCAGGGTGCTGTGAAGCGAACAAGGGTGCCCTGTTCTCCAGAGCAAGTTTGTGTCTTGCCTGAGTGCTGCAATTGTCAGGGTTGGGGTTGGGCAAGGCTAAAGTGTCTCTAGCAGACAGCTAAAGGGCCGCCTCATGGCTAGCAGAAGAGGCAAGTGGTGTTTCCACACTCAGTGGGGTCCTTCTAAACTATTTTTTTGTCTCTCCATTTCCTCCATAGGTCTGCTCTTCATTTGTTTATCTGTTCTGTTTTTTATTTGCTCTATTCCTCACTTACAGGGAGGGAGAGGATGAATCCCATCTGTAATCGCCTTGGCAAGAAATCTCCCTTCCCCATGCAGCTTCCTCACTCCCTTCCCAAAGCTTTCGATGAAGCCCTTCCAAACTCCTTTCACCTGCGTATCTGAGCACATTGTTTGGACCGGCTCCTTTCGTGCACCTTCTTCAGGATTTTATATGTGGAAAAAATATATATTTTATAGATTTTTTTTTTTCCTGGAAAGAGGAGATTTAGGAGGGGGAAACTTTTTACATCACCAGCATCTTCTAACCTGAAAAAAAGCAAAAGAGAATTTGTTTTCCCTCCTCCCCAGCTGTGTTCCTCTTGGTCACAAAGCCACCTTCAGCTGGTCCTATTTCCTCTCTTCCAAATGTCTCTGAGGCCCCGCTGGGACCTACTGTGAGGACAAGGCTCCCCCCACGCCATCCCCAGGGACCTGCAGACAAGACCGACCAAAGCCATAGGGGGGAGCTAATGGGCAGCCTGCCACGGATATGCTTCGAAAGAGGAGACCTTGGCGAAAGGCTGCGTGATGAAGCACTCGGTGACTGTCCTTTGGCTCCTGCAAGAACTGAGTTGGCAGGAGCCTGGGTCTGTGGGGGTCCTCCTCCAGCTGCCCCCCATTCGGGAAAATGGAGATCCTGTCTTCTCCAGGGAAGAGGAGCCAAGAGGCTGCTACTGCCCCCGCCGGAGCCAGCTCGTGAAGGTGGCAGCTACTGCTCTGCTGTGCAGTTCGACTTTTAACTTAATAAAATCTTCCCATTTCACTGAGGAAAACGCATTCAGAGTGTGGAAGGCTTGCCAGGGCTTCCTAGCCCTGTTTTGTGGGRGTCACTTTTCCTCTGGTCTGTAGTGCCAGCTTTCTGCATCAGTTTGGGGCAGGCATGCTCTGAGCTAGCTTGGCACCTACTGTTAAATGCAGCCTTTGCTTCTTTCTAGTTTGTAGTGCTGAGCTGTGTATGTCTGGCCTCACATTATAGCTCTTGCGTGGCTTGTGTAGGCAGATGGTTCTGTTTGCTCAGGGTTTCTCCTGTGCTGCAAATCTGCACAGAAAGGCTGATGGCCACGTCTCTTGCTCTAACCTCGTGGAAGGAGAGCGATATTCACCCACAGCTGGAGAATGAGAGCAGTGATGCAGTGTAGCTGTCCAGCTGTTTGCTCCTCCTCTCCTTGGCTTTGGGGGCACATAATCTGTTTAATGTCACCTGTCCAAAAGTCTCATGAAAACCTTCAGCCCTGTGGCAAAAGAGCCTGAGATGAAGCAAATGCTGCCATGTTTTGTTTGATGTCTCTTTGGTGGGAGACAGAAACCTAGTGCAAGTTACTGGAAGAATAAAGAGCACATATGAGAGGGCAGGTCAGGAGGTCTCAGGGAAGGGGGATAAGAGCAATCTGAAATACATCCCTCCCTCCTGTTTCTGGGTGAAAATGTATTGCTCTAAGAGCAGCGATGGGGAGGATTCTACTTGGTTGCTGTGGTAGGGGAGGATGCAGAGCCTACCAGTAAGTGCTCCTTGCTCAGCTGGCCAAGCTGCACTGTAAACATAAACTTCCACTCTGCAGAGAGGCTTCTGGCAATCGTGAAGGAGCCGAGCTAGAAACACTGCTGGCTTGTGCAGCAGGCTGCAGGCGCCGTTTGAAGAGGGGAAGGCACAGGGGTTAAGGAGGGCTCTTGGAATGAGTGTGGGCCTCCAGGAAGATGGATGGCTCAGCTGGGACGCTAAAGCACTGCGAGGAACAGGGGTGAGGAGATTTCAGYGTATAAACAGAAGTGGGGCTTAAGGACACTGTCAACTGCTGGGAGAGGGGTTATGTCTGAGGAGAGTTATGCTAGAGAATTGGTTGTCTGAGGATTTGCTGTGTTCAKGATAACCATTATAACCATGGTCTATAATTAGCTGAGAACTTATTATCTGAGGTAACTTTACTGTTGGGAATTCAGAAGAGAGGGATGGTGTGAAGTATATACAGCGCTGCTCTTCTGTGGGTAGGCTGCACGGCTGCGGAGCAGGGCAGTAGCGCGTGCGAGTCATCTTTTCCATGCGTGTGTTTGTGTGTAGGTTTGTGTGCATCCAGGGGATTTGGTCAGGAGCAGGATTTGGTCAGAAAAGCTCCTGCTTTGCTGACTGCTCTGCTTAGGTAAGAGGAGCCACTCAGTAGGTCACACATTCCAGCAAAACTGGGTCGAAGGCTTTCATCATCCTCGAAAGGGAGTTGGGCAATGCACYGAATGGTGCAAGAGGCAGCGAGCTGAGCTCAGCTCCTGGCCTCGTTGCAGGGTGCTGAGCCAGGACTGGCTCTGCTCTCCCTTGTGCCCACACTCATGTGTGAACTGATCGTGCTGACCAAACGCTTTGGCCTTGCACTGCACCAAGCAGTCGCTGGGGCCCAGGAGCCAAAAATCAGCAGCCTGGGCCTCCCAAAGCAGCCTCCCAAAGCTGGGCGCTTCCCCTCGCCTTGGTGGCAGTCTGCTTCCCTCTGTTGGTGAGAGAGGGAGAACAGCAAAGTCCACAGCACTTCCGGCACGGAGAACCCTGATTTCCTGGCGATGCCCAAGGTCTCAGCCTTTCCCTTGGGCATTTAGTGCGCTGTTGGCCTAGGATGGGAAGGAAGGAGCTGGCACATCAGCTGAGGGCAGCTGCTTCCAGATGATGGAGATTAATCCTGCCATTAGGGATGAGTAGTCACCAAGTTAGGAAGAAGACACGGAGTTTAGGGACTTGTTTTGCASGTGGGAGGGATGTCCACGTGGTTGTGTTTTTAAAAGAACGGGCTTGCCTGTCCCTATAGGAAATGGAAGATGGGAGAGCGACCCACACACAGAGCCTGCCACCCACACGCTTGCCTGCCTGCCTGGGTGCCAGCCTGAAGGAGGAGATCAGCTCCCTCTTCCACACCCCAGCCCTACTGCTGTGTTAGGTGCCAAATTAGCAGTGTCCTATCCCGCMCCCAGCAATGGGAACCTCTGGAAGTAGGACACTGGGTGCAAGAATATGGCTATCTACAGGAAAAAAAGGAGGACTAACAGTGAAGGCAGCAGTTGACCATGGCTTGCTGTTCACCAGCCCGTTCCTCAAGGCATTTGGGATCTCAAACGTGCATTTTTTTTCATTCCTCTTCCTGCCTGGAGGCTGTCGGCCCAGATAAACATGTCAAACGAGCACAGTCGAAATGTGTCGGTGCTTGACATGAGGTCTAGACGCTCCTCCTCAGGGCTGCACAGCAGCAGATGAGCTGTCCCTTGAGACAGACGGGCTAATCATCTCGGGGCGCCGCGTGTCTGCGCTCTGCTCTGTGCCTTCCAAAACCGGGAGCAAGTTAATCAAGGGGCTCCCCGCTCAGCGTGTGGTAGGCTGATACTGTCATTTCTGTCTGTTGGGCACCGTTATCTTCTGGGTGCAGAGGAACCAGAGGGAAGGAGCCGGGGTGGGGAGAAGAGTCACCCGAAATGTCATAGGTGAAGGAAATAACAGCCAGATGGAGGCCCTCTCCTCATGGCACCTCACGCAGCCCATCGCGCTTCCCGCAGCGATGGCTGTGCTRACTCCGGACACCTCTGATTGAGCTGGGGGATTAGGGCTGACAGAAACGCTCCAGCCTCAAGCCAGGGGAGAAGCCACAACCGTGGCTGGCCGTGTAGAAGTGAGCAGTCTGTGTAATCAAGGAGCTACTTGCCTTTATAAGCTACCTTGTAATTCTTGTAAAACTCACTGTCATAACCGCTCCGTGAGCCTGAGGCCACCTGTTAGAGAGGTTGCTRGTCCCTGTTTAAAACCTGTGTTTGTTCTAGCAGAGCTCAGTCATCATTRTAATGATAGGCCCAGGAAGATCCTCTCCATTTGGCTTCATCACTTCCACCAAGTGCCACTGAAAGTTGCTTCAAAGTGTTAAGCCTTAAGAACACTGTGATARCCCTTCACAGTTTGTTGCCACCACTGAAGACCGAGCTGCTCTTTGTGGCCATGGGGCTGAGCTGCTCTCGCTGACCGGCACTGTGGCTGACTATTCCTCTGCTTTGCAGGGCCCTGAGGGCTCTGGTGTGGCACATGAGCCCTGAAGAAGAATGCAGCTGGAAAACCAGCCAATTTCCTTGCTCTGCTTCTAAAGAGCCATTGAAATACTTGAATCTGATTGTCAGAGGTGCTGTGTCCCATCACTTCAGCTGGAGGTCTGTGTATTTGAAGAAGGTAGTTTCTCTGAAACTAGAAAACAGGTAAAAAAGAAATTGCTGTTGCAGAATCACTGGCATTAATCACCAAGACTGCTGCTTTCTCTGCCTAATGTGCTTTGATGCTAAAGAATAACTTTTTTTTTTGCCCTAAAAGGCATCAGTCATTAGCCATAGGACTTGCACCACATCCACAACGTATGGGGTTTGACCATTTAAGAAGATGAAGCCCTTGGTTAGAAGCACATAAATCCTGACAGTCTGGTCAAAGTAGGTTCAGGGAGGGAGAAGAATGTAAATGAAGTCATTTGGATTACTTAGCGGATTCCTTTGCTAGGCTGTTTCCTTTCAAGTTTGTCAAAAAAATGGTATTTCTCAACCTCTTCTGCTTAATGTCAGGATGGTTTGGAGGTGACCTGACCACAGAGGGCTGGTTGGTTTCACATCCCCTCCCTTCAGGGGCCAGGGGCTCTGCAGTGCCCTGATCTCCTCGTCACCTGCTCACCAGGATCCTGCTGAACGACGCTAGCGATGGCCTTGGAAATGGCTCCATCTGCAGGGAGGGTAGCAAGGCATTTCCTTTCCTAAAGACATTGCAAGCGACCATTAGCTAAGAGTGATTAGTTCTCCAGTGCTGTGCAGTCCAAMTCTGAGGACAAATTAGGCCAGGAGAGTTGGAGAGACTGGGCAGATTTCCTTTTGGTGAACTCAGGGGGAAAGAGAAATCCAATGTCACCCACGGGACTTTGGAGGAGAGGTCTAGATATTTGAGTGATTATAAGAGGGTATTTCAGTAGCAGTGCTTYCCCTGAACACAGTGCACTGTGGAAAGAGCTCACTGGCCAAAGTCTCCTGCCAAAGATGGCAACACAGTTGCTAGAAGGGGCCACTTAGCCCATGGGGAGCTCCGTGGTGGTCTGGAGGCTGGACAGGAGCCTGCGGAAAAGATGAGGTTGTCACAAGCAGAAAAGGTGGCATCTCCCAGGCAGGGCATGGCAGGAGATGATGTGTCCATCAGGGATGGCTGGCAACTCTGGCACAACCTCCTGCCCAACGCTCACCCCCAATCCTCTGCAACCACAGGGACATATCCTCCTGGAGGTCCATTTTGTCCCCTCGGCCCTTCTGCTCTTTCCTCCCCGCTCTGTCACCATAGCTGTGTGCTCAGCCGTTGCAAGAGAGCTGGCCCTGACGCAGCTGGGCCAAACCTCCYGTCTTTATCACGTTCCTGCCCTGCCCGGCGTGTCCGTCTCCGCACGCCCAGCGTTATCAGCCCCCACAGGGGACATGRAGTGACAAGGGCTGCAGGCTGCTGCCGTGGGGAAGCAGCCAGGCAGTACTGAGCAGCGGATAGGAACAAAAGTGCTTCCTGTGGCCAAAAATACAGGCATACRTCTGAGTTAGGCACCGTCCCAGCGAGGGGTGGAGCAGGGAGCAGATGGCCCACAAGAATATTTTTTCTTTCCAGAGGGGTGAAGGAGCAAACACAAGATGTCTCCTGTGACATCTTGTGATCTGATCTGATTAACGTTTATAAGTTCACGAAGGGAGAATGTAGGGAGGAAGGGGCCAAGCTCTTCTCATTGGTGGCCAGTGACAGGACAAGGGGTAATGGGTATAAGTTGAAACACAGGCAGTTCCATCTCCAGGTGAGGAGGAMCTTCTTCCCTGTGAGGRTGACAGAGCCCTCAYAGACAGAGYCCAGGGAGSTTGTGGAGTCTCCTTCTCTGGAGGTCTTCAAAACCTGCCTGGACACCACCCTGTGCCATATGTTCTAGGTGTCCCTGCTTGAGCRGGAAGGTTGGACTAGAAGATCTCTAGAGGTCCCTTCCAACCTTGAACATTCTGTGATTCTGTGATTCTGTGCTGAGTCCAGGCAGTGCATGGGYAGGCCAAGCAGTGCTGGACCCAACTCTCAGAGAAGGGCTGGGCTTGCTTTTCCCCACACTTGCTTGCATTRCACTGCCAAGGCTCACTGGTTGGCCCAGGGCTGGAGAACTGGTCCTGGCTCTTACCCAAACCTGTTAAAGACACATCGGTGCATCAGAGCAACTCTCCAGGGCTAGAGGATTGCTTTCCAGTATCAAGGGTTAAGTGGGGAGTTTAGATATTGCCCAGGCTCTTTGGTCACGATCCTCCATTGGCAAGACCAGCAGCTGTCCAAGGAACCTTCATCATCTGTATGGTCTGTCCTCACACGTCCCTTGGGAGCAAGCAATGTTTTTCCTGTTTTGACAGCTAAAAATCATAAACTTCATCCAAATGAAGGGATCAGCTCCCATACATGGAGGGGAGAGGGTGTTTATGTGCCAACAGAAGTACCTGCTACAGGAGGCTGCATCCCTGGAGGGACTGAGCAGTACCCATTGGCCACAGAAGGTGCCCAGGTGACTCATTTAGATAAGACAGCTAATTTTTTAGACAGGGCAATGTTAGGTAAAGTGACTCTCCCTTCCCTACGCAGTGTGTTACCCTGATAATTGCTGCCTAATTTAACACTGGAGGCTTTGCGGTTAGCCCGTGTCCCTGGGCCACGATGAGGATCAGTGAAGAGCTGGTATGATGCCCTTGTTTGTGTCTCACCACCATGCACTCTCAGATCCTGGCTTACAGACAATCCTTTATGCTTCTGGCAGTTAAAAGCTTCAACAAAAATAAAACCAGATGGTGCCTTATCTGTGTATGCCTGGTTTGCCTACGTGCAGGCCGACAGTGTTTTATTCCAGACTAGGCAAATAAATTGTCCTTCCCCTGGTCAAAGGGTTGCACAGAGCCCAGCACAGCCCATCATGAGCACTGCYGCCTGCCTCCCCTTTACAGGAGCAGGAAGGTGCCTATCACTGCGTGACGCCAAGTTAAATATCCAAAGGGGAGTCCAAACGGACCATACATCTTGGTATAGGAAAGAAACAGATGGATTTTTTAGATTTAATACAACACAAACCAAGGTGTGGTGGAAGGGTGGGTATTCTTATGGTTATGATCTCTTTGCCGTTATTAAAATGAGATGTTCTGCAGGTGTTGCAGCTCACCTCCAGCCTCGAAACAGCGTTTAGCAGTAGCCAGCACAGGGAATGCATTGRGGAGGTTTGGCCCAGGAAAGGAGGGCTCTTCTGGAGCGGAACATCCGTGTTCACAACCTTCCCGTGCCTGCCCTCCTCTCCCCTAAGAGGAGGCTGCTCTGTGGCAGAGTGTGTTATTTTAATGATACAGCATGAGACAGCCTTGCAACAGCTGCAGCCCAGTGAAATACAGCTATGGAAGTGAAATCCACTGCCACTGGCCAGAGCATAGGCACTGGCTTCCAAAAAAACCCCACAGCTTCGTAGGTGAGTAGGTTAGTGCTGTCAGGGGCTGATCTCCATATCAGGCCCAAAAGTAACGATCCAATTTGGAGGAGAAAAAGACTTTCAGCAAAGGAGTGAGGCTGGCAGCTGAAAGAAGCAGCAAGTGCCCTAGTCAGGAACAGGAATATAAATAAAGGAAGAAATAGGACTTTCCCAGGCTTTACCCTTTTCTGCATTGGCAAGCCACCTCAGGACAAGGTTCAGCTTGGTGCATACACTTGGGGCAGCAGCCCTGGTGCCTGGGCAGCAGGCACCTGCTCCAGCAGAGGCAGAGAGGTTCCTTTATGCAGACGTTATTGGAACAAGGCAGGGCAGGCCCATCGCTATCCCTGCCACACGCAAAGCAGTTTGCCTAGGAAAGTATTGCCAGGCCGCCCTGCTGCTGGAGCCATCTGCGTGCATCTGATTCCTGAGGCCAGCAGAGAAGAGCACTATCTGTAAAGCACAACTTTCTCAGSTCTCCTGCAAAGGCCATCCCCAGCGTCCCCAGTCACCTTTTCGTTTGTCCAAACTGCAAGCTCACGTGTGTGTGGGACCATCCCTTCCATGGGGAGAAGGCATTAGGCTCAGCAGCCTGCTGTGTCTTGCCCCATGCTTATGGGGATCTGCTCAGGCATTTCACTGGGGTGAAATGCTTCAGACTGGCTATACTCCCCTGCTGCACGGGCTGCTGAGAGCTTACCAAGGGCACTGGTGATTGAAAAGAAATGCAGAGTACCAGTGCACTGCATCGCCTCTAAGAACAGTCAGGYACTGTTCCTTCTTGCTGCTGATATTCACCGTCCAAAAACAGGCTTGGATGGCCTTTGGCTTTGCCATTGTAATCCTCTGCCCATTCTAACGTAGCTGGGAAGCAGTACACATCCAGACACCTGAGGAGAAATAAGTGCTCAAGATCCACCAAGACAGCGGGGAGAGCTGCCCTGTTTTTTTTTTTTTAAAGCCTGATTTCTTAGGTCTATCTTGCTTGCAAGGCCCTTCTGACTCTTTCTCCAAAAAAAGGTTGCACTGAAGTTTCTGGATTTGTCAAGCCTGATTCCTTCGCCCCACCGCAGGCATTCCCTGTGTGCAGGCCCCAGCCTGCTCTCCTGCCTCAATTCACACCAGATGAAGCTGGAAGTSTGGGAGAAGATGGGAAAGGGGAAACGCCTCTTGTTTGAGTATTTTGGAAAGTCTGTGTCTAGGAGTTAATAATAACCCTTATCACATCTTCCTAACCAGTGGAGCAGCTACATCCCTAGGTTAACCCATGTCTCTGTCCAGGGCAGGGACAGCATCTGCAGGGAGGCCCTTCTTCCCTGCTCATCCCAGCATCCCACTTTGCACATGCTCCCAGTGTCACTTTAGGCCTTGCAGACCTTGTGGACRCTTCTTTCTGTGCTTTGGACACAAATCTTTTCCAGACTTGTGTCTCCATTTCCTTTCCCATTCCCCAAATATAAAAGCTCCGCTGCAGAAGGGAAAAAAGCAGCGTGCGGAGGTAGACAGAAGGGGGAGGTCTAGAGACGTACAGCATGACTTCAGTCCTGCAATTCTTCCAGCAGTAAAAAAGCATCGGGGAGGTAAGTATCTCCTTGCAGGATAGCATCCTGCACCCTGCTCATGTAGCATGTGGAACACAAACTGGGCTGAGGTGGGCAGCTCTGGGGATCGAGATACACATACACATATATACATATGTGGGGGGGGATATTTAAATATATCTATATGCATGTATATATATGCATATAAATATATACACATATACATGCTCACATACACACATACAAATACAAATATAAACATAAAATATGCATAAATATGCATCTTGGTGGTGATTTTTGCCTCAYTGGGATTCCAGGGCACGTAAAGGTTATGAAGGGGTGCTCTGTGGGTATTTTAAAACCCTCCTGAAGGGCCAAAATATTTCAAGCTGTCAGGTTTCAGCTCTGAGCTCCACGTGACACGTCTCTGTGCACGATCTGTGTATGTCTAGATATTTTTAAGAAGGGAGAAAACACTATCTATGTTCTACCAGCAAGATGGTGATAGCACCTACATTTAATCTCTCAGGAGCAATTAAACACCTGCCCAGCCTTGGAAATAACGGTCGGCTATCCGTGTTATACACCCTCCCCAGCCCCTTCCACACAGTTGTGTCCTCTTTCCCGCCAAAAATAAGAGAGAAACGCCTTTATTTGTGACAAGAACCACACATGCAAGAGGGACGAGCCAAGGCCGTGTCCAAAATGCTCAGTGGGCAGCGGAGTAGAAAGTCAGAGGCATTTGGCCATGGGGTACCACTGTGGAGGCTGTTTTGAGCCTTTGGGGGGTTATCTGGGTGTCCTCTTGGTATACTCCCCCACCATCTCTCCTTGTCCCCACAATGTCCCTTCCCTGTATAAATCCCTCCAGGATTGCCCCAGGTCCTTCCTTGTTCCCTTGGCATCCCCACAGTGTCTCTCCTTGTCCAAACCCAGTGACACCTCCAAGTTTCCCTCCTTGTTTCCCTGGTGTCCCCCTCAGTGTCACTCTTTGTCCAAAACCAGTATCCCCTTGTGTCCCTCTGTGCCCGTGTCCTTCCTTGTCTCCACTAAGTCCCTAGTCTCTTGTCCCCAAGTGTCCCTCCTTGTCCCCAGCATGCCCAACTCCCTCCCTGTCCCTCTCCATGTCTCTCTGTGTCTTCCAGTGACTCTCCTTGACTGCACTCMGCGCCCACCCCAGTGTCCCTCCTCCTCCCCTCAGTGTCCTCTGTAGGGTCGCTCCTATTCTTCTCCGCAAGACCCCGGGGTCCCTCCAGCCTCGAGCCAGGGCTRTGTGGGCTGCGGGCGGTGCCGCCATGTCGTGGCGCGGGCGGCGCGGGTCGCGCAGTCGCCGCCGTGGTCCGCACCTCACCCTTAAAGGGGGGCGGCGGCGGCGGCAGCGCACTGAGGCGGCGGCAGCCCGCTCCACACAGCGGTTACTGCCCTCATCCGTCGGCCCTGTTCGGAGCCGCCTCCCACCGGGAGCTGCGGTGCCCGGCCCAGCGAGCAGCAACAGCTTCTGGCAGAAGRGCGAGCGTTGGTGCTGAAGGACTGAGCCCACCATGACGGGGAGCCCAGGCCCGGCCCCAGCCCCGGCCAAGCCCAAGCGGGCCAAGGCAGCGAGGCGCCYGGCAGCCCACCCCAAGTACTCGGACATGATCGTGGCCGCCATCCGGGCGGAGAAGAGCCACGGCGGCTCCTCGCGCCAGGCCATCCAGAAGTACGTGAAGAGCCACTACAAGGTGGGCCAGCACGCCGACACCCAGATCAAGCTCTCCATCAAGAGGCTCCTTGCCACCGGTGTCCTCAAGCAAACCAAAGGGGTCGGTGCCTCYGGCTCCTTCCGCATAGCCAAGGGTGACAAACCCAAGAAAAGAACATCCCGAAAGGGCAAGAAGGCCGTCAGGAAAGCTGGAACGCCCAGGAGAGCAGCTAGACCCAAGAAAGCCAAGTCGCCAGGAAAGAAGCCCAAAGCCACCACCAGGAAGGCCAAAAGAAAGCAGAGGAGCACTCCGAAGAAAGCCAAGAAGCCAAAGACTGTCAAAGCCAAGTCACTGAAGACACCAAAGCCCAAAAAGGCAAGGCGGTCGAAATCCAGAGCAAGGTCCAGCGCCAAGAAGTCACCCAAGAAATGAAGTCTGGAGGCTTGTATCTGGACTCTCTCTCTCTCTCTCTTTCTGTAAATAGTCTTTGGCTTTATTTTTCCCTCTTTCTATTGCAATTTATAAAGAATTGATACGTTTCTGCCTGGAAATAGTTAAAATAATGCAATTATTGAAAGAAAAAAAGGAATGTCTTCAGTATGGAGAGTTCCCATTTTTAAGACTTACTGGCTTAGGCTTTTATTTTGTTGTCATCTCAGAGATTTCTTGTCTGTGTCTTTTTTTTTTTTTTTTCATTTGTGTTGGGAGTGAAGATGAATCCATGTGCATATTGAGGCCATGAAATTCCTGAATTCCTGATCACGTCCCATCTGTAAGAGGGTTGGGTATTAGGCTGGCCAAAGCCTCTACTGATGCCAGAGGGTGGGAACAGGAAAGCTCATGGGCAGAGAGACTGAAAAAAATATCACTTTGGCAGGAGCTTGGTGCCCTCTGAGCTGGCTGTGCTGGGCACAGGATAATTTGTTTAACCTCATTCCAGTGATGCCTTTATTCCTATGGCCGGGGAAAGAGTGGCTGGGATGGGGATTTCTTTGATCTCTCCGTGTAGAGGCACRGGCGAGAGCTGAGGTCTCTGTGCCAAGTAATCTTTGTCAGAGACACCASGAGAGCTGCCATCAAACAAGCAGCCTTGGACTGGGATCAAGAAAGGCTTTTCTCTCCTGGAATGTAAAAAGTGTGAGGCAATCCCTGGTTTATGGGATGTCYACAGTACGAAAACATGGTTAAGGGAGCCCCAGACTTTGCGGGAGGAAGCAAAGGGGTGCTCTGCAGCCCACTCCTTGATCTCCCCAGGTCTGTGTCATAGGGGTGCTGACTGAGGGGTGCTGAGGCCTGGCTGTGGCCTTGGGAGGGGACATCCGCCCCATTCTTTCTAGCACTGGGGTGATGGCAGAGTGCCTTCACCTCAGCAGGGAACTCCTTGGGTGGAGAAGGGAAGAAGGACGTGGAGTGAGTCCACTCAGGCTGTGTCCCCATTGCTTCTTAGGACCTGTAAGAGCAGGTTGCTCTTACTTCAAGTTTGCTCTTTCGAAGGTAAGCAGGCAGGGAAAATTTCCTCACTGGGGAAAAATTTTTWAAAAAATAAATTTTTTAAAAAAAGAACAAGCATGCCTTTGGAGTGGGTTTGCTCACTGTGGGTGAAAGGGGCCACAGGGCTGAGCAGCATCTCAGCGGGCSGTCCCCTGTCTGGGTGGAGTGAGCRGCTGGGCTAGGGCAAAGCACAGCCCCCAGGCAGGGCCCTGCCACTGTACAGGGCTGGCACAGCTCCAGGGCCTGCCCAGGCTCTGCTGAGCTATCCTGAGGGCTGCAGTTGCAGGGAGGCTGCTGGCTAGTCCTGCTGCCCAGCAGCTTCTGACAGCCTTGGACAGCAGGTGCCTAATCCCCCCTTGCCTGGAAGTGCCTAAACCCACTGGGCTGTGCATGCCCAAGCCCCATTTGGTTGCTAAAACCCTAGTGCCCATCATCCCTAAGTCTGTGGGTTCTCCTGGTCCCAAATCCCATGGACTGGCATGGGGAGATCTAATGACTGGACATATGGATGGACATATTTGAACGTCTTGGAAATTAGGATCCTCAATTACCTGTGCCTGCAAAAAATAAAAGTGGGGGTGGGGAGGACAATTTTGTTGGACTTGCTTTGTCAAAACACCTTGGACTTGYCATGTTGTGACCCTCCTGCACTGGCAGTTCCTGGCTCCCATTGGCCCAGTGTTCCTAAATCACTGACAGAAGGTACTCAAGTCTCTTAGACTGCAAGGATTCCAAATCACGTAGTTCAGGTTGCTGAAATATTCRGCTTTGAGGGACCTAATTGCCGAGAGCATTTTTTTCAAAAGATGTTTGGACTAAAGATTCTCAAAACACCTGGGTGGAAGAGCCTGAACCCTTTACAAGGGGCTAGTGCCTAATCCTCCTGGACACAAGATGTCAAAACCTTTCTGGCCACAAGATCCCTCATCACCTATTCTGGAGGTACCCAAATCCTTCAGACAAAAGTGCATGGTCCGCTTAGGCTCTTTGTGTCTAAATCCATTGGGCTTGTGGGTTCCAATTTCCTTCAGCTAAAGGGATCTGAAATCCCTTGGGTTCAGGAACTTAGAATCATATAATTATATAATCATAGAATCCTTAAGGTTGGAAGGGACCTCTAGATATCATCTAGTCCAACTCTCCTGCACACACAGGGTCACCTTAAGCACGTGGCACAGGATGCAATTCCAAGTGGGTTTTGAGGATCTCCAAAGAAGGAGATTCCACAACCTCCCTGGGCAACCTGTTCCAGGTCTCTGTCACCCTCACTGTTAAGATTTTTTTCCTTAAGTTCCTGTGGAACTTTTGGTGCTTCGGTTTCTAGCCATTTCCTCTAGTCATATCAGTGGCCACCACTGAAAAGAGGCTGGCCCCATTCTCCTCACTCTTACAGACTCTGTTCAGGTCCCCTCTCAGCCTTCTCTTCTTCAGGCTGAACAGGCCCAGCTCTCTCAGCCTTTCCTCATAGGGCAGATGTTCCAGGTCCCTGATCATCCTCATAGCCCTGCGCTGGGCTCTCTCCAGCAGTTCCCTCTTGTACTGGGGAACCCAGAACTGGACACAGTCTCCAGACGTGGYCTCACCAGAGCTAAGAAGAGGGGCACAATCACCTCCCTCAACCTGTGGGAGACGCTCTTCTTGATGCATCCCAGGATCCTGTTGTCCTTCTTGGCCACCAGGGCACTGCTGCCTCATGGTCAGCTTGTCATGCACCATGACGCCCAGGTCCCTCTCTGTGAGGCTGCTCTCCAGAAGGTCAGTCCTGGTGTTTGGGGTCCTGGTGTCCAGGGTTATTCCTCCCCAGCTGCAGGATTTTACMCTTGCCCGTGTTGAATTTCACAAGGTTTCTCACCGCCCAGTTGTCCAGTCTGTCCAGGTAATTCCCTTTGACTGATATTTCCTAACCCCCTTGGACTCGGTGCTCCCCAAACACCTGTGTTGGATGAACTGAAACCCAGTGAGTTACTGGTGCATAAATGGATTGGGCTTTCGATTCCTGAAYTCCCAGAGGTGGGCCCCACACTAAACCCCTTGGACCTAAGGATCACCAAGCAGACAAGCTGTAAAGGACTGCAAACTCGTAAGATGAGGCACCCCATGCTCCTGGGCTGGTTGAACCTCCATCCCTTGTACCTGTCATTTTGAAGTCCCTCAGGTTGTAGAGCCTAATTCCTTGGSCTGTTTTTTTCCTAACCCCCCTCGGCTTCTAAATCCCACAGAGTGGGCTGACCCAAATCCTTTATGCTTCAAGGAACCCACTCATCCATGGCGGAGACACCCCCGTATCCCCTGGGCCAAAACCATCCCAAAGGAGGTGGCCACGGGCAAACTCCCGTCTCCAGCACGCCAAGTCCCACGGAGCGAGAACCTGCCAGCTCGCTCCGCCATCTCCATCTCCCTCAGGGCGGCGGCGGCCCCGCGGCCC